CATCTTTCCATTAATGAGAAAATCTATGACAATACTTCTGAATAAGCTTTTTCTGAAAAGGAGAATTTCGGGAAACAAACTGACTGTCACCGAAAGTCTAGAAAAACTTAGAAGTTTATTGTCTTTTTAGCTTCTTTCTATCAAAATAGATCCAGATTATTCTTATATTCTGAATCTGTTATGGGAAGATAACTTCATATAACAGTTAAACTTCGGAACTGTTTTCTAATCAGCTAAATAAAACAAAATTATGAAACGAAATGACCTCATCTGGAGTATTATTGGGACAAACGAAGTCCACGGCTACTGGAATGAAGAGTACTATGAGACAGAGTATGAATGAGACCACAGCCATAACGAAATGAACATGTTGACGACAGTACTACAAATAAAATGATATAAGCATAAGAAGAACATTTAAGTTCATGTTATGACGCTATACGATGGATGCTGATTCCTATTTACTTCTGGATAATTGAAGGTAAATTAAAAAAATCTCACCACGCTGGAACATTTGATAACTCCGACGGAGTTCACTCCACTAGCGACGATAGCTGCTGTGTAGAAGAATTGTCCCCAGAAGGCACTCGAAGACTGGAAAAAAAATATTCTTCTGTATATATTGATAGTTTGGAATATCATTTGAATTTCATCCGAAACCATGTGATTGAATGATAGATAATAGGTGAACGCAGAATTCATCAGAATGTCAACCCATCGTTCATTGCCTAAGATTGTTGTTTGAGCTGTTGGCGAGAAAATTATTGAGGGAATAGCTTTTGTGGTGAACTTAGTGACTTAGTGATCATTTGCTGGGAATATCAAGATTTCGGAAATGACTACAAGTTTCGGAATCAAGAGTTCAGCTCAGATAAGAATCTTCAAATATCCCAGACAGAAAGCTTTGCCAATTACATCTTCAAGATTTCCGCTTAAAATATTCTTTCAATCACAGTTTCCACGCTGAATAATGTACAGGCTTTTTCTTGATGCCATTGACCAAAAGTATCTCATCATTTATCAACGTCAACCATCGCTGCTCGACAAACAATGATTACCGTTTCGCATTTTTCCGAGAGCATTCATGGGTATGAGAGAAACATTTAGCTCATAGGATCGGGAAAATAATAAGTGTGGAGCTTAAACAATACCTGAGATAAGATGATGAAGCAAATACCCATAATTCCTTGAGAGAAAGAGGCAAAGAACACCATTCGGTATTTATCACGAATGAATCTCAAGCGATCAGATACATGACCTGCTGCGAATTTCATTATTACTGATAGAACATATGGTAATGCTGTTACGAAACCCGTAGATTTAACATCTATTTTCAGAACCTGAAAAGGAATTTAATACTTCCTCGTTCAATTTCATATTGAATACTTTATTCATGTAGCTGGGTCCGTAAAGAAGAAATATTTGAAATCCTAACGTGCCGCCTATTGATGAGCACCAAATAGCAATAACACAGGGATCCATAGCTATAGCCCTTAATATAAAAAGGAGTTATCTTGTTTCTTTTTTTTGTCTAACTTGTATGGGATGACTCGGTCTGTTTGATTATGTGTTCTTCCATCTTGAATTTTTTCCAGCTCTTCTCTTCCAACCCATCTGATTTATGATATAAATGAAACTGTTTATATTTGATGCAAACTTGTGAGTCGCTGGATTATCTCGGTAGAATAAATAAAAAACTATGAAAGATACACTTGCGATGATTCCCTGAATGTAATACAATGATCTCCATCCTAAAGAAGATTCACAAAGCTCTCCCGCTAAAGGCATCGTGAAAATTGAGCAAAACTGTAATATTTGTCTTAAATAGGTTATTACTTTAAACTAAAACTTGTATTTTCTCTCATTATTTGACCCTACATTTCTGAACTCTTCTCTTTGTATGGATGTCCGACATCTGTCTCATTGACCTCTTCAAACTGAGAAAACATTTCGCTGTCTTCTGTAGCTCATATAGTTTCTCCTGCTGAGTACTCTTCTATATCGTTTTGCTCTTTGCAAATTGACCTCTCTTGACCTCACAGATACCACTGACTTAAGTTTTCTTCTCATCTCTCATATTTATCAATATCCCTAACTAGTGACCTCACAAAAAAGACAGATCGAGTTTGGGTTGCACAAAGAAAAGAGAGTGATCTACTAGTTTTAGAGAGATGCCTGAGCAAAGTATTCATCCCATAAAAAGTTCAAACTTTTTTTAGGATTGGGGACCAGGGATAAAAATATAGATGAGTGTACCTGAACATGTGTCGACAAAATTGCTATGAAGAAACCAGCATTTTTTGGGGCAGCCCATTGTGTTCCGATCATTCCTGTGGCAGGATATGAGAGTGAGGTGGCAGTACCCTATGAGTAAAGAGGTTTTCTCTATGTGAAAATATGTTTTCAACCTGCAAAATTCTGCAAATGAAAACTGCTCCAAATCCTAAATGAACTGCCAAGGGCGTCGCAAGTGTGGACAAAGAAGATACCAGGCCATAAAGAGCTATAGTGAAACTAAATATTATAATTTTTAAAATGGGACAAGCTGCTCTGAATAAGTGTATAAGACAATAGCTTACCCTATTCCGAAGCGAGAAACCAGGAGTGAGAACGGAATCGTGCCAATAAGGCATCCTATAGCAATAGCTGAGAACAATGCATTCACATGAGTAGGCGATTGCAACCAATGTATTTCCCCTATATGATTATTTTCAAGTTGTATTGATAAAGATAAGAAGCAGTTCTACCGGTAGAGTTGTCGAACTTCTCGTAAACATCGTTCATACAGATCACAGTGAAGTTGAGACCAAGAGAGTTAGCCATAGAGAATGTTAAGCAAATTACGGATAACACAAGGATCAAAAACCGTGTTTTACCAAAACATAACGAAATGCCGTCGGAAGAACCCATATTGACTGCTGGAATTTTAAGTTTTCAAGAACATTTGACAAGTTTTTTTGTTTCAGAAAATAAATATTGCTTAGTTTAAGCTCATGCATAGGCCCAGGAGCAAGTAACAAAAAATGAAAAATATTATCCAGGTGAAGCGAACGACGTAAGTTGACGTTTGCCCACTAAAACCTTCTGTGAATGTATTGTGAAGGTAAGATTTTTGAAAAAATGTATTCTTCTAATAGTTATTCGGAGAAAAATGTAAAGTCAATGCCAACAAAATCTCAGATAGAATAGATTGGTTGTATTTCATTGGATGAGTCATTTGATCAATTAATGGAGGAACTGTTGAGCATGGGATGAGATAAAGTGAGTTTGAAAAAGTTAAGTAAAAACAAATGTCGTATTACAACACGAGCTGATATGTCTTGATAATCCTAATGGCCTCATGTTTATCGCTACTTACTATAGTTCATATCATAAAAAGAGGAGCAAGACTGATGAAAGCTTATAATTTGAAAAACAGAATAGGAGTCAATTTAAAGGAACTTTTAACATGCCGTTTAGACATGTTGCGATAGCCTTATATGCTGGTCACGAATTGCATCACACTGTTTTGAAAAGTGTTTCGAGTACTAGCGAACCAAAAACTAAATCACACATCATATTTCATGTAAATCGGTTTATCTTTACTCAAAAATTATCAACATGGTTTACTAGATTGCTTCTAGTATAGGACGAGCACATTTCGGAACAAATCTTTCTTTCATCTACATAAGCTCACAAGTTAATATAGCACGATATAAATAATAACAATCTATTGCTTTCTCTTTTCCATGAAAACAGCTCTTTTCAATGTACTTCGAGTCCCAGCGAATAACACCCGGTGATCCTAAGGGTGTAGCAAGCGAAAGATCATAATGAAACCAGAGTATCATTGAGATCTCGAAGAAAATGTGGTCTGAAATAACAAAATACTATAAGCTCAGAGAGTCAGGATACAACTGAAGAATTCCTGTTCTCATACAGTTCTATAATCATTAATCACTTACCTAGTCCACTTTTATGAACTTTACTTGTGTGTACGTGAGTGCTTTTAAATTATGATGATATATTCAAAATTGAGACAGATTTTGTTTGCAAATGATGATATCGTTCATGATGTGATCTATTTTTCGAACTGTTTACATTTCCAATGTCTTCTTATATTATGATTATATATCATAATTCACTACAAAAGTTCATTTAAAAATTAAAAATAAGGCCGCAGCAAAGGTCATTGTTTCCAATCTTCAGGAAGTTTGTTTAGAGCTTTTGCTTTCAGTCTCTTTCCAGTTTCCGTTAATGCTGCCGAAGTTGTTACCTGAAAAGACATGTTTTCTTATTTGAGATTCCAGAAATCACCTCATAGAACCACATAAGAGCTGAGTCGTAGTCTTTGAGCAACTCATAGCAGTGGGCCAAGTAGAACTGATTTTCTAAGTCTCCAGATTTAATTTCTTCAGCTTTCTCGAAACATTTGACAGCATCTTCCAGTGAAAGCTTGAAAGCATGTTTCGAAAAAATATGTTCAAAATGAGCTTCTATAGGCAGCGTGGAAATCTGGAAAAAAACGAGGGATGCACCACGAAAAGTAAAGAAAGTGACCGTCAAAGCAAGACGTCCTTTCAAATGCAACAGGTCGAAATGTTGAGTATCAGTTGGATTTTCATGTAAATGAATCACAGATTTTTGAAAGAAATTCTTTGGAAAATAATGAGATTTCAAAGATTTAAATACATACCATCGCTGTTTCCAAATGTCTCAACTTCTGGTCTAAATCTTTCTTTAATTCCGCTAGATTGAGACTACACAATGCAATATTCCGAGAGCAATTCAGAGTGGGATTCAACTTGTAGCATGAATGACCAAGTTGAATTCCTTCAGCTTACAGTTATTTTTATTTTTTTCTTTCCCAACCTTGTTTCAAGAGCTCAGACCGCATCGTATTATTTCCCGCATATTCCGATTCAAAAAACGCACTCATAGCAACATCATGAATTTTTCGGTAGTTCAATTGTTCCTGAATCACGATATCTTGAGAACAGTCATGCACTTACAATTCCTCCACAGTCCGAAATTACAGAAACAATATTTCCTCCGTTCATCATAGAAACCGACCGGCTTTCAAATTTAACTTTTTAAAATGAACATCTCCTCCTTCACGTGTAGCAATTTCATTAGAGGTGGCGCACTTATCCATATTTAAATCAATACGATCATCGGACCAGATTTGAGAGTAAGTTTTGGCACTGACAAGTTTAATCTCTTTCGCAGTCTTGTTGAAAATGAAAGTTACTTGAAAAGAGCATTCAAAGGTTTAAGTTAACAGCACGCAGAAGAAATTTTGAAGAGAACGCACTTTATCGAACAATTTTAAACATCACATTCTGGGAATACTTTAGGGTAGAGCAATTAACAATCAGTTACAATTAAAATTTGAAACGGTATTCAGCAGTTAATAAAATTTTTGCTATTTCTCGGGATGATATAATTTTTACATAATTGAACGAGATAAAACTACTTAACTTGGTGTCCTTATTGATTTCTTGCCCTCCATAGACCATGCCCAGGAAATTTAGCACACCATCCGTAGAATGACGAGCAAATACGGGTCCCCCTAAGCTTCCTGGACCAGCTGACTCATGGCCGTAAAGCGTGTGGAGCTTCCCAAAATTCAGCTGATCCTCTAGAATGGAGGAGATTCTTCCACTTATAACCTGCAGATTAGCTCCTTCGTCGGAGACTGAAAATCCCTGTAAGCGAAAAAAAAGTATGAAAATAAATTATATACTCACCACCATGAAATAAGGGTCACCGAGGAAGGGTATGGTTACATTGACGTCTTTTAGATTGGGCAATTTCTGATCATTAGACAGCTTCAAGAATACCAAATCTTTTTCGATTGAGTAAGCTGATATTCTTGAAGTGAATCTCTCATTGGTTACTGGGTGAATAAGGAAAATGTCTGTTTTCCGATGCTGCGAAATTTCATCAAGACCAGGACCACTTGGAATACAATGCTGGACACAATGATAACAAGAGACCAGTAGATCATCTTTGACTGCAGTTGCGCAAGCTGTTGCACCCTCTACTTTGTAAACATAATTTGTCATCATGACAATTAAATCCCTCTCATATTTTCCCATCGAGCACACGCAAGCTCCACAGCAAAGAGGCGGTTGCTTTTCCATTAAAAAGCTGCAGCATTCAATAACCATTAGCACGTGTACCTCACGACAAAAAAAAAGAAAAATATCCAAGAAAAACAAGGAAATTGTAAAAAAGTTTCCTGTCCTCAATGAGGTGGATAAGAACAACGAATATTAAATATGATAAACCAGAAGAACGGATAATTTGTTCGGAGTATACAGTTAGCAAGAGTTCATGGCAAAGCCTTTGTTCAATGGCAACGACATATACTGACGAAAAGATATGAGGATATCACACCAACTAGTGTATTTCTCCTACATTATTAGTAAGGCAATGACTGATAACTTCTTCACTAGGTTTTGTCATCATAGCGTTGATATTGCCACCTGTTTTATACAAGTATATAGTCATCACGAAAATTCTGCCACAAAGAGCAAAATACAAATAAATTTGAAAACAATTTTGAGTTGGGAACTGTACGCAAAATTGGATTTCTCAGGATATGAGAATACTCGCGTTTGATATGAATAATCTTTCCAATCTTTTTCGATTTTCGTAAAGCTCAACATCTTAATAAGGTTATCACTTTGAAAAATTATTTTGTGTGAAGTATGTTTCATGACAAGACAATCAGTGCTCACAGTTAGCTTTACAACAACAACAAATTATGAAGATTGTGGTTTCTGAAATTGACGATGTTCTATGTATTGATGATGTTCAAGAGCTTCGGATTGAAATAAAGTTTTAGCCGTTTCAAGGAACCTCATAAGTATCACTTTTTCGAAATAAGCATTTTATGAATTTTTATTAAGTGAATGATGCAGAGTTCTTCTCTTATGAGTTGTTTGATCACCTTTCATACAACAGAATTGTGCGTTTGCGAATCTCCGCTTCGACGGTGAGAAGTATCTCTTCGAATAGTTGAGCACTGAAATGAATCAGAATCAGTTCGTGTTCTTCGTATAGATCATTCAACTGGTCTATCCGTTCGACATAGTTTCACTTCTACATCACTCCTCTGAGCGCTATCGAGTGATGTTCCGCGTTGAAACTGAAAGATTTCGTTTTTTTAATAATGTTTCCAATAATCATCTTATTACTTTTCTGCTTCCTCCAAGTGACCTCACCCTAGAAGATGCGTGAGATCGAACAGAAGTCCATTGAGCTCTGAGCTGAAACATTTTGTTAATGTCTAGTTCAGTTAATTTTATTCACATGACGTCGAAGAGCAGGAGTTCGGGCAACAACGATGAGTGGATTAAGAAGTGGATCCACATAAGCAGCGATTCTAGCGTAATGGTACCTGTAATTTGAATAGTTTAAGGATGATTTCATATATTTATACCATTTAGTTAACCGTGCAACGTCTTCTCGATCATTCACCCAGAAGACAGCTATCTCAATGTATGTTTGCCCAAGAACAGAAATGAAAAAAGTAGTAATAGAAAGAATCAATGTGTGAAATAGACGTTCTCGACGTCGATGAGGCGATTGTTCTCTGGAAGCATCGATCTTTTATGAAGTTCTTGTCGATTGAGTCAATTACCTCAGTCCACTATGAGCCAAGTCGCAATCTCGATGTACTTTGATATGATATGTTATAGTTACAGTGAAAATGACAATGGAAGCAGTCAGAAAGAATAAAGTGAACAACGTGTGTCCACGTAGTAGATAAGCTCCAAACATGTGAAAAACAGCTGTTCTATCACATTGTCCTGCAATTTCTTCATAACCTGAGCGAGGGATTCTGAAATCGAATTCTGGTTGATGGCCATAATCACCAATCTCACGTTCCACAATTGAGATATACTCGTCCCTTTATCAAAGTCGCAAAGAGTTCATCTAGATGACGAATCGCGCTTATCTGAAGATTGGAGCATATATGGTCTATGTAAAAATTATAATTTTTACTTGCATCGTAGAGAACATGACATGTGTTACTATCAGAACAATCCAGACGCCTGCGAATAATGAAACAACAGCTATTTTACTTATATGTACGGAGCTTCCAGCCATCGATCGATTAATGACGATCTGAAAGGCATGTTTTATTTTTGAGAAATGAATTTGAGAAATCAAGAATTCAATACAAACCAGCACGAGAACGAGTAGATGAATGAGGCCAATCAAACTGCCATTTTGTGACAAAGAATATAATGTTTCTTGGATTAGATATTTCCTTAAAAAATGTTATTTTTCCGCGATAAGCATGTTGAACCTGAAGGAACTGCTATCGAACAGATGAGTCTGTAGCGTCTCCGCGATTATAAGCTCAGCTGATTTATCGAAGTGCTAAAAGTATTGATACTAGTTGCTATATCTAATAAGGACTTGATTTAGAAAAAAACAACCGCTTCTAGCTTCTGCACATCGAAATGCAAAGTTCACATCGACTTCAAGCGATGAGCAAATTAGAATATTTTCCAATCGAGCTTCCTGCACCAATTACTTGATTTTCAATTTGAACTTACATCATCATTAACATCGCCATAGGAGCTGTCCTGCAGAAGATCAGAGAAGAAGAATGCAAAAGAGAGAAGAAACAGCAAATTGGAGAACATTATGTTGAGCACAAACAAAACAGTTGCAGTTGATAGAGAACGACTAGTCTTAAAGAAACATAAATACAATTCTCTCGAAGATAGTAATGAATGGATTACTCGTAACAGAAGGATTGCCAATAATGCTGTATTGAAGCAGACCATCGCTAATAACGCGAATTCTATACGGAAACCAATAGATGCCTGATCCGATAAAATTCTTCAAACAATTTTTGTTTTATTAATTCTTTGAAAGTAACCTGAATCGTTTTTCATTCTGCAGCTCACAAATGTGATTACTGTTACTGTTACAGCAAATACTTGAAACTGTTTGAGATAATCGAGAATGTCTATAAATGGTTATTTTCATGAAATTATACGCCGCACAAACCCATCATCATCAGTTTCATTTATGTAACGTTCCTGACTGATCACATTACTTCGGCATCTTCAAGTAAGAAATTGATGTAGTCGAATAAATTGGAAAGCCCACTTTCGAAACTCATCAACCTGCTTCCATAGCTTAACAGCCGCCAAAGAGAAATGTTGAAGTAGAAGTCGAGTTCTCAACACAAGAGACGGTAACTGTGAATCGGAATGAATATTAGAGTAAAGATCCGAACTGTAAATGAGATTCGTCAGTTGTTGAGTGTTTACGAGTAACCTCAGTAAGTTCATGAAAACAGTATCATTTGCAAGTGCTCTCCCCATGTTGTGAACAGACCAAGCAGATCGATTAACAAATTCTCCAAACGTATCACAATCTCTTGAAAAACGTTGAAAAAATGATCGAAATTTCAACAAAGGAGCAGTTGCACTGGAACATCTCTGTAAGTGTGAATGTCAGAGAACGAAGAGGATGAAGATGAACTTCTTGAATTTTCTGTTGTCGTTTAGCAACATGTGGAACATAACACCGACTGTATAAATCAGTATAAACTTGTGAAATGCTATTGCAAACATGCCTTAATTAGGAAATTAAAGAAAAAAAGAAAAAATTCAAGAAAACACACTCTCTTTCTGGACTTTGGGCTAAATATAGAATATTAAATAGAGATGAATAAACATAGTATGACATCTTCTCTGTCGTCTTCAATAAAGCTCCGCGATCACAGATCTTAAAGGAGGATGAGATGAGAAAAAAATATTAATTTCATGCAAATTATTCATTCTTCTATGGAAAGCTTATTCTGAACTCACGGCAGCGTATGAATATCGTAGAAACTGTTTCTGAAATTCTCGATGGAACTGCGTTCGATGCTTGTTGTATTGGAAAATTTGATTGACCTCACAGAATCTTCAGAATATGTTAAAAGAGGAAATAAGAATTGTGAAGAAACCTTAAAGCCCGCATGACCCAAACTAACGGTTGATACTTCAACGGCACAAATACTTCATAATCAGAATAACACAAAACATATTTTTGAATAAAATAATCAATCTGGAATATGTCCGTACAGGTTGAAGAGAGTTGAGTTGCTTGAAAAGCTTTCATCTTTCAAACATGAAGATTAATGAAAACACAAAACTTACAACTTGTGTATTGTTTGATAATAAGATGATATTATCCATTTCATTATTACATAATTGATATATATGACGACTTTCATTGAATGGTGGCAGCCAAATTGTAAATGGCAGAGATTGAGCAATCGGAGCATATAATAACAAAACAAATAAACATAAAACCATTCTGTAAAGTATAAAAGTTAAACTTATTATGGAATGATAATTAGAATGGTTGATTAGAGTGAGTAGGGCAGATTGAGGAAAGAGCATAGATACATCAAACTGAAAACACTCCGTACATTCTATCCACTATTTCTCTGAGCAACAACTCTCTCTCTCTCTCTCTCTCTCTCTCTCTCTCTCTCTCTCTCTCTCTCTCTCT